CCTGCCTCAGCCTCCCAGAGTGGTGGGACTATAGGTGTGGACCACCACGCCCACGCCTGCTTTAGAGTTTATATATTTTAGCTCATGTATACATGTGTCAAGATAAATTATTTGCTGCTCTCTAAGGGGATTTTGCTGTATTTTAAAAGACAAGCAAGATATGTTATGTCTTAGTTTGTAAAATTTATTGAAATCTTCAAAAAATATTTTTAACATTCTTTTTTCTTTTTTATGTTATCAAGATCAGTTACTTACACATCATCAAATTCATTCATGTAAATGTAGAATTCAAGCTGGGCATGGTGGTGCACGCCTGTAATCCCAGCACATAGAAGCCTGAGGCAGGAGAATTGCCATGAGTTCAATTCCAGCCTGGGCCGCATAGTGAGTTCAAGGTCAGCTTGAACTACATAGCAAGATCCTATCTCAAAAAACCATTTAAATAAGTAAATGAATGAATGAATGAAAAATTCATTGACATTTTGTGGATTTACAGAATTATGCCACCATCACCACAATGTGGTTTGAGAACATTTTTTTTTTGGTACCATGGATCGAACTTGGGACCTTTCGCTTTCAAGGCAGGTGCTGGAACCACTGAGCTAAATCCCTGGCCCTTGAGAACATTTTTGATCCTCCCAAAATGACTTGTACCTTACAAGTCAGTTCCCCTTTTACTCCCAGCCAGTCACTAATCTACTGCCTCCATAGCTTCCTTTTCTTTTTTCTTTAGCTTTCTTTTCTGAATATTTCATGTAAATGTAATAGTACAAAATGTGGTTTATGTGTCTGGCTTTTACTTAATTTTTTTGTTTTTTGGTACTTGGGATCGAACTCGGGACCTTGTGCTTTCGAGGTAGGCAGTGGAACCACTGAGCTAAATCCCCAGCCCCTACTTAATGTTTTTGAGGTTCATTCACATTGCATGTATCAGTAGTGTTTTGTTTTTGTTTTGTTTTGTTTTGTTTTGTTTTGTTTTGTTTTGTTGGTGGTACTGGGGGTTGAACCCAAGGCCTTGTTAGGCAAGTGCTTTACCACTGAGCTACTTCCCCACTGCTATTTAAAAATTTTATTTTGAGCCAGGGTCTCAGTTTGTTGCCCAGACGGGATTCCAGCTTGCTGTATTCTTGCCTCAGCCTCCTAAGTAGCTAGGATTACAGGTGTGCACTGCTGTGACCCATTAGTTCATTCCCTTTTGTTTATCCAGTCACCAGTTGATGGACATTTGAATTGTCCTACTTTTTTAATATGTTGAAAAATACTGTTATTCTTTGAGTAGAAATGTGTGTGTGTGTGTGTGTGTGTGTGTGTGTGTTTTCTCTTGAGTAGATAAGTAGGAAGAAGTGCTGGTCTATATAATAAATTTATATTGAGCCTTCAAATACTGTCATGTTTCTAGAGTGACAGTAACTTGATATTTTTCGCAGCAATGTATGAGGGTTCCAGTCTGTCTGACTGTCTCCATCTCTGTCTCTCTCTTTTTAAATTTTTTTTTTTTGAGAGAGGTCTCACTATGTAGTCCAGGCTGGACTGAAGCTCAAGATCCTTTTGCCCCAGACCCCTCTTGAGTGCTGAGATTACAGATGTGCACCACCAAATCTAGCTGAGGGTTTTGGTTTTCTTTTTTCCTTGTTATCTGTACTGGGGATTGAACCCAGGACTTTGTATTGGGCTACATGCCAGCCCATTTTTTATTTTTTTATTGAGATAAGTTCTCATGAAGTTGCTAAATTGTCCAAGCTGGGTTCCAGCAATTACAGGCGTGGACTACCATGCTGTGCCTGGCTAAGATGGTTGTGGTTTCTATACATTCTTTCCAAGACAGACAGACAGACTGTCTGCCTTTCCATCTTCCTTCCTTCCCTCCTTCCATTCTCCCTCCCTCGCTCCCTCCCTTCTTTCCTTTTCTTGCTTTCTTACTGTACTGGGTATCAAACCTAGGGCTTCACACATGTCAGGCAAGTGCTCTGCTATTGAGACACATCCTCAGGCCCTTTATAAATTTTATTTTGAAATAGGGCTTTATTGAGTTGCCCAGGCTAGAGTCCCACTTGCGATTCTTACACCTCAGCCTCATGAGTAGCCACCATGCCTGGCTGTCTTTTATTGTAGCCATTTTAATTGGGTAAAATGGTATCTTGCTGTAATTTTAACTTGTAATTATTGATGTTGAATATTGTTATATGTGTCTGTTACCATATATATATATATATTTTTTGGTACTGGGGATCAGGCGCCAGAACCACTGAGCTAAATCCCCAGCCCAACCATTTTTATATCTTCAGTGAAATGTCTGTTCAGAACCTTTTGCCCATTTTTATTGGATTGTCTTATTGAATTATAAGATGTTTATATATTGTTAGACCTTTATCAGACAAATGATTTGTATTTTTTGCTAGTCTTATGTTTATTGTCTTATCAGTATCTTTTGAAATATAAAACTTAAATTTTGTTTCTCTGTGTGTATGCATGTGTGTGTGTGTGTGTGTGTATGTGTGTGTGTGTGTGTGTCGGTACTGGGAATCAAACCCACAGCCTTCACACTGAGCTGTATCTTCATCTCTTTTTTTTATTTTTAAAATTTGAGGTAAGGTCTTGCAAAGTTGCTAATTGCTTTCAGTGAGCTTGAATTTGTGATCCTCCTGCTTTAGTCTCCCAGAGTGATAGGATTACAGGCATGCACTGGGGATTGAACTCAGGACCTTGTGCTTGTGAGGCACGTGCAGTGGCACTGAGCTAAATCCCCAGCCTTAAAAACTTATATTTTGATGATCTAATTTATGAATATTTTCTTCCATGGAGTGTACTTTTGATGTATCAGAATTTTTTTGCTTAATCATGTTCAGTCATGAAGATTTTTCTCCTGTTAATTCTAATTATAGTTTTAGATTTTACACTTAGGTCTCTGATCCATTCTAATTTAATAGCTTTGAGTAATATGAAGTAGTTTTAAATTCATCTTTTTGTTTGCAGATACCCAGTTATACCAGCACAATTTGTTGAAAAGGCTATCCTGCCTGCAGAAATGATCTAATTATTTTTGCTATTCTGAGTACTTTATGTTTGCACATAAATTTAAGAATCAGCCTGTCAGTTTCTGTCAAAAAAAGACCTGTTGGGATTTTGCCAGGGATTATCTTAAATCTGTAGATCAACTGAGGGAAAACTTTTAACATTCTTTTAAGTAGAAAGATTGTGTTAGGAAACTAAAAAATTACAATACAGAGAATATAGCTCACAATGAAGATGTTGTGATTTCCTTTAAAGCTTATTACAGGTTGAAAAATCTCTTATCTGAAATGCTTGTGACCAGAAATGTTTTAGATTTTTTTTTTTTTTTTTTTTTTTTTTTTGGTTTTTTGAAAGAGGGTCTGGCTATATAGTCCAGGCTCACCTTGAACTCACTATGTAGCCCCTCTTGCCCTCGAACTCATGGCGATCCTTCTACCTCAGCCTCCCAAGTGCTAGGATTACACGTGTGGACCACCATGGCCAGTTCGTTTTAGATTTTAATGTTTTTTGAGTTTTGAAATATTTTCATGGACTTAACTGGTTTATATCTGTAATCTGAAAAGCTCTGAAATCTGAAAGTGATGTTTAAAAAGTTTCAGAGCATTTTGTATTTCATTTTAAGGATGTTCAATCTTAACTTGGTTTTAGATTGAGACCTTTGTAGAAATTGGGGCTGGGGATGTAGCTCAGTGCTGCTGTGCCTGCCTGGCAAGTGCAAGGTCCTGAGTTCAATCCCTGGAGAGGATAATTTATGGCTGGGCATAGTGGTGCACACCTGTAATCCCAGCTCTTGGGAGACTGAGGCAAGAGGATTCCTGTGAGTTCGAGGCCAGCGTGGGCTACATAGTGAGTTCAAGGACAGCAAGAACTACATAGCAAGACTCTGTCTCAAAAAAAAAATAATTTGTAGTTTGAGTGCTCACTGTATGTCAGATAGTGGTTAATTACTCTTGAGTTTTTTCATTGTTTATTTTTTCTTTTGGTACTGGAGATTGAACTCGGGACCTTGCGCTGGCCAGGCGGGTGCCAGAACCACTGAGCTAAATCCTTGACCCTTCATTATTTAATGTCTTAACCCCCTAAAGTCTTTAAAGATAGAAGATATTACATAAAAGACAATTGGGGAAAATTGTTACACCTTTTGTTTCTGTAGTGAAGACATTGAGATTCTAACATTGTCTTTAACAATGGAAGGTGGCAAAGAGGTGGCAAAGAGACATAGGCCCTACCTATGTCTTTCACCCATATTTTTATTCTCTTTGCTCCAGTTTTCTAAATTTTGTTTTATTTTATTTTGGTGGTGTTTTTATTTTATTTTATTTTGTGTTTTTTGAGACACAGTGTTGTGCTACATAGTGTAGGCTGGCCTCATACTTGGGGTAATCTGCCTGCCTCAGCCTTCCAAGTGCTAGGAATATAGACATGTGCCACCACACATGACTAAATTTTCTAAACCATTTTTAAATCTTATGATGGCATTTTACAAGGAATTGTAAAATATTCTGTCAATGTATCTATTCCCCTATAAATAGGATAACATAAATACGTATGAATGTAATTACAGACTGAAGGAGGCTGCTATTTTGAACGTGATGCTGCAAACAAGTCCTTCTACAGTACTTTCCTCTGTGAATTGTACATCAGTGAGCATGTGGTATAGATTTGGATAGCTATTTTTTCATAGTTTTTGTAATTGTTCATTGTAAGGGGAAGGAGAAGTGAGTATGCATTCTAAGGTGCTATTTTTTAAAAAGTATATTATGAGTTTCCATTGCAATGACAGCGTCTGTATTTTGATATTCATCTTTTTAACGTCTGCCTTTACATTCAGAGGCAGTGTCTAATGGGCTTTATCATGATCCTTATACAGTTTGCTATATTTCAGTGTCTTGCCTTCCACAAGATCTGATTTCTGTTTATGTTGAGAACAAGCAGGCAAGAAAAAGGGAGGTTGAGGACATTTTTCACCACTTATTTCCATTCTACAGCCGTGCAGTTGGAGGTGCTTGTGCATGAAGACAGATTTGTTCTATGGCCTCGGAGTTGGGTGCCGGGGATGATGGCGGCTGCGGTGAGCTGGCAAAGCCCCTCTATCTTCAGTACCTGGAGCGGTCCCTCCGGTTGGACCATTTGCTGCGACAAACATCAGCCATTTTCAACAGGAGTATTTCTAGGTGTGTTGTTTTATCTTTGCAGTATAATGCTGTGGGAGATTTCTGATTCCCATCATCCCTGCAGATTTTGGTTACAATATTTTATGATTTTTATTATGTTTGATAGTTTCTTTATCCTTTCAAATAGCACACAGTCACCTTTTCCAAACTTTTCAAACTTCTGTAAAGTGTCCAGGTCTATTGACATTAACTTATAATATATTGCTGTGATTATGATTTCACTGTTCTTCGATTTATAGTGACGACAGTGAAGATGGACTGGATGACAATAATCCCTTATTGCCCCAGTCTGGGGATCCCTTAATACAAGTACAGGAAGAACCTCCAAATTCATTACTGGGTGAAACTTCTGGAGCAAGCAATTCTGGAATGTTAAACCCATACTCACTCAATGGAGTTCTGCAGTCAGGTCAGTGTGGCGTGCGATCCTTCTTCAGACTATCCTTTATCTTGGGGAAGTCATTCTTTCATTTTTTTCCTTATGTTTCTTTATACAGAATCAAAATCTGACAAGGGGAATTTATATAACTTCTCTAAGTTGAAGAAAAGCAGAAAGTGGCTGAAGGTAAGAGATAAGGCAGAATGTTTATAATCTAAATATTAATTTGCTAAAAGTAGGGAAAGTTATCAACATATTCTGACAGAATACCAGAGGTTTTCCAGATAGGCTTCATTTATACTGAATGTGGTTCTTTGGGCTTGTTTTTTTTTGTTTGTTTGTTTTTTTGGTACTGGGATCAAACTCAGAACCTTGCATTTGCAAGGCAGGCGGCAGAACCACTGAGCTAAATCCCTGGCCCTGGACTTGTTTTTTGTTTGTTTCTTTGTTGTTGTTT